CCATGACCACAGGCCCCTCCCCCTGTATCTCCATAGCAACAGGCCCCGCCCCTTGCCCTGAGTAACCATGGTAACAGGCCACACCCCTCCAAGCCTCAGGCTCCGCCCACTACTGGTGACCTTCCTGACCCCGGTGACCCCCCCCGACCCCTGAGACCCCCCAAGTGACCCCTGAGCCCCCTGGTGACCCCCCTGACCCCCAAGACCCCCCAAGTGACCCTTGACCCCCCCTGTGCCCCCCCAGAGGAGGAGGAGGTGGACAAGATGATGGAGCAGAAGGTGCGGGAGGAGCAGGAGCGGCGCCGCAGGAAGGAGCTGGAGGAGAGGATGTCCCTGGAGGAGACCCGGGAGCAGGTGGGACACGGCCCAAACACCCCCAAAATCCACCCAAAATACTTCCCAAATCCCTGCAAAATCATCCTCGAAATCCCGTCAAAAATCCCATCAAAATCCTCCTTAAAATCCCGTCAAAATCCTCCTCAAAATCTTGTCAAAAATCTCCTTCAAGTCCCATCAAAATCTCCCCAAAATCCTGTCAAAATCCACCTCAAAAATCTCATAAAAAGTCTCCTTCAAAATCCCATCAAAATCCCATCAAAATCCTCCTCAAAATCTCATCAAAATCTCCCCAAAATCCCATCAAAATGCTCCTAAAAATCTCATCCAAAAACCCCCAAAAATCTCATAAAAAATCTTCTTCAAATCCCCCCAAAATCCCATCAAAATCTCTTCAAAATCCCATCAAAATCCTTCTCAAAATCCCATCAAAATCTCATCAAAAATGTCCTTCAAACCCCCCCAAAATCCCATCAAAATCCTACTCAAATTCTCATCCAAAATCCCATCAAAATCTCATTAAAAAATCTTCAAAATCCCGTCAAAATCCTCCCCAAAATCCCATCAAAAACTCATCAAAATCCTTCTCAAAATCCCATCAAAATCCTCCTCAAAATTCCATCAAAATCTCCCCAAAATCCCATCAAAATGCTCCTAAAAATCTCATCCAAAAACCCCCAAAATCCCATCAAAATCCTCCTCAAAATCCCGTCACAATCCTCAAAATCTCATCCAAAATCCTCCTTAAAATCCCATCGAAGTCTCTCCAAAATCCCATCAAAATCCTCCTTAAAATCTTGTCAAAAATCTCCTTCAAAACCCCCCCAAATCCCATCAAAATCTCCCCAAAATCCCATCAAAATCCTCCTCAAAATCTCATCAAAAAATCTTCAAAAATCTCATCAAAATCCTCCTTAAAATCCCATCAAAATCTCCCCAAAATCCCGTCAAAATCCCATCAAAATCTTCCTCAAAAACTCATCAAAATCTTCTTCAAAATCCCATCAAAATCCTTCTTAAAATCCCATCAAAATCCTTCTTGAAATCCCATCGAAATCCCCCCAAAATCCCATCAAAATCTCCCCAAAATCCCGTCAAAATCATCCTCAAAATCCTGTCAAAAATCTCCTCAGAATCTTGTCAAAATCCTCCTCAAAATCTCATCCAAAACCCCATCAAAATTATCCTCAAAATCTTGTCAAAATCTCCCCCAAATCCCATCAAAATCCTCCTCAAAATCTCATCCAAAGTTTCCTTCAAGATCCCCTAAAATCCCATCAAAACCCCCTGAAAATCCCATCAAAATCCTCCTGAAAATCCCATCAAAATCCTCCTTAAAATCCTCAAAATCCCATCAAAATCCCCCCAAAATCCCATCAAAATCCTCCTCAAAACCCCCCCAAAATCCCATCAAAATCCTCCTCAAAATCCCATCAAAATCCTCCTTAAAATCCCATCAAAATCCCCCCAAAATCCCATCAAAATCCTCCTCAAAATCTCATCCAAATCACCCCAAAATCCCGTCAAAATCTCATCGAAATCCTCCTCAAAATCTCATACAAAAACCCCCAAAATCCCATAAAAATCATCCTCAAAATCCTCCTTAAATTCTCATCAAAATTCTCCTTAAAATCCCATCAAAATCTCCCCAAAATCCCATCAAAATCATCATCAAAATCCTCCTCAAAATCCTCCTCAAAATCTCATCAAAATCCTCCGCAAAATCTCATCAAAAAATCTTCAAAATCGCCCCCAAAATCCCATCAAAATCTCATCAAAAATCTCATCAAAACCTGCCTCAAAGTCCTCCTCAAAATCCCATTAAAATCCTTCTTAAAATCCCATCAAAATCCTCTTCAAAATCCCATCAAAAATCTCCTTCAAGATCCACTCAAAATCCCATCAAAATCCTCCTCAAAATCCTCCTCAAAATCCCATCAAAATCCTCCTCAAAATCTCATCCGAAATCCCATCAAAATCCTCAAAATCCCATCAAAATCCTCCTCAAAATCTCATCAAAAAATCCTCAAAATCTCATCAAAATCTCCCCAAAATCCCATCAAAGTCCTCCTCAAAAATCTCATAAAAAAAATCTTTAAAATCCCATCAAAATCCTCCTCAAAAATCTCATAAAAATCTTTAAAATCTCATCAAAATCCTTTTTAAAAATCTCATTTAAACCTGTTCAATGTTTGCCCTGAATTCAGCTGCTGAAGCTGCAGGAGAAGTTGGGGGCTCTGCAGGAGGAGAAGCACCAACTGTTCCTGCAGCTCAAGAAGGTTCTGCACGAGGAGGAGAA